ACAGGAAAACGGCGTCTCCTTCTCACGGATGAGCTGTGGCTACTCGGGGTTTTCAGACGGATGTCCTCCGTCACCTGACCTGTTCACCAGCTGAAGTTCTGGAGAAGCAGTAAGAGCAATTCCCTCTGCTGAGCACGGCGGGCTGAGGGCTCACAGTCCTGGCTGAGCGCTCCAGGTGTTAAATACTGACTGAAAGTATTCACTGATACTTCCTGCTCCTCTGCTACTGTCCTGTAGCCTCTTTCCTCACCTTCTCCTGGCAGCAGGTTATTTAGGAAAGGCAGATGGTTCTGGAAGGATCTTTCCAATGGTCAGGTGATAAATGCAAATTGTTATCTGTTTGGTTTTGAGATATAGCACCAGTTCTGAGAAGTTTGTTTTCATGTTTTCTTTGTTTTGAAAAGGAGACTGTCCATCTGACAAAGGTATTTGACACTAATACTCACGATCTTCCCTACCTGGGATGAGAAAACACCACCTCCACTTTTACGACTCCTCGTGATCCAATTGTCATCTTCTACAGAACCAAACGACTCAGCCTCTGCAGCAAGTTGGGAGCTCGTGTTCACTGCCAAGGCCCAACACACAAGAGGGGCTGCTGCACCAGGGCACTGTGGGCTCTGATGTCCAATACCCAGTGGGATTTTCCATGGAGCACCAAGAGGTCCATGTGAAGAGTTGCTGCCCATTGGTTGTCTCTGCCTGCAGACAGCGGCAGCCCTTGCTGGTGCATTCGGGAGAGGTGGATCTGCTGTCCTTTTTTCCTTTGCTGTCAGTAAGATGACTAAAAAATAGGAGTGTCCATCTCCAGAAACGTAGATCATGTTCAGGAGCAACCTCTGAGCCTGCCAGAAGAACCCGTGAGACCAGGTCCTGCTGCTGCTTTTCACAGAGTTCTACATCTTGGGATGCTTCTGGAGAACTAAAGATAAGGAGTTCTGTACCAAAACAGGCAAAACAGAAGAAAAGAGCAAATAAAACCCGAATGACACCACTCCTGAGAAACACAGCCCCCATTCCT